GGATGAAGCAGGAAAAGTATTTTCTCTTGTCATGAATGTGACTAATTGAATTTTAGAATGCCTGCTTGGAGAGCAAGTTCAATGCTAGACAGAATGTGGCCAGGACCTGCAGACTCGTCCGTGCTGTCAGAGGGGAAGAGATCCAGAGCTCTCTGAGACCGGGGTAAACATGAGTGTGGTGACCTCATGTGGGTTCATTCTCTGTCAACACACCTCAGTGTCCAGGTGTCCCGGTATTTGGTTAAGTGGCATGCGTGATGCCTGTGTGGGCTTTTCTGAACAGGGTTTAAACTGGTGGACCCTGACAAAAGCAGATTGTCCTCTGTCATGTGGCTAAGCCTCCAGCAGTCCCTCCAAGGCCGATGCTTCTAAGAGTCCTGGAGGTCTGTCTCTCACAGACAGCCCCTGGGCTTCCACGGCCACCTCAGCTCTTCCCAGGTCTACATCCTACCAGCGTAGTCTGCAGGGTGCACTTGCCAGTCTCTGTAGGTTCACGAGCCAGTTCTTTTTATGAGTTTCTTCTACAGAGAATGGAGGCTCACACTTGTTTGTTTATTTTTGAGACTTGGTCTCTCCATATAGCTCTGGCTGTGTTGGAACACACTCTGTAGACTAGGTTGGCCTTGAATTCACATAGATCTGCCTGCCCTGCCTCTTGAGTGCTGGATTATTGGCATGCACCACCACACCTGCTGATTTATGCTTGTAATCCCAGCGTTAAAGAAGACACAACCAACCTGGTCTATCTAGCACACCGCAGGCCAGTCAGGCCTACACAGACTGTTTCAAAACCACCACCCACCACCACAATCACCTCCACTACCACCTCCACCACCACTACCACAACAACACCAACACAAGACATAAAAGTAGGAAAGGGTGTAGTTGGAAGGACAGGTTTTGGTCAAGAATGACAGAACAGGGAAAAGGATAAATCTGTTCAATACATTGCATATATGAAACTCAAAACCAAACCAACAATGTAGGTCTGGGAGCTGGCTTAGCGTATAGAGGGCTTGCTTCAGAAAATGAAGACCCAAGTTCAAACCATCCCTCCTCGACATGCAGGCTTGGCTGTGCGTCCCGGTAACTCCAGTGCTGTGTGGAGTGAGACAGCAGGGTCACTATAGCTTGCTGGCTGCTAGCCTAAGGCTCAGTGAGAGACCTTGTCCCAAGAGAATAGAGCAGAGACTGAGGGAACAGGACGCTTGGTGTCCTTCTCTGGCTTCTGCTTGTGTTCAGGGACGTAACCTTTCACTAGGTGTCCACATACCGCGTACACACACACACACACACACACACACACACACACACACACACGTTTACACACACTCACACATACACATATGTATATGCACACACAAATAAAAATGAAAAAGATCCACATTGTGTATGGATAGGAGACTGCAAAGAAGGGCAAAAAAGCTTCCATGAATGCACTTGTGCGTGTATGTGTGCATAGTTAGATGCCGCTTAAGAATAGGTGTTTGCTCCGAGAAACGAGCCATGACGTGATTTTGCCATTTTCAAACTGCGTGTGTATTTATACAGCCCGTGACAGGTGCAGTGTTCCTAGGTGATGCAATCGCATGGAAACACCCAGGAATCAGAATGAGATAAAGGAGGCCGATCAATGCCCACACCGCCATGCGAGATGTGTCTGTAGGTCACGTCCTTTGGCTTTGGTTCTCGAGGGACTCCTGGCCCCGGCCATAGTTATGGTGAACTCAGAGTTCCCACTGCTGTCTCCTGGTTCTGCAGGAGCATATGGCTTCAGTGCCACTCTGGAGCCTTGCGAAAGGCCCAGGTTTTTGTTTGGTTTGTGTTTTGATCCTGCAGAGGCCAGCAGGATGTCCTGTCTTGGGGAAAAAAATCCTTTTGAATTTGTAAAAAGCAACATTGAATCAGCACAGCAGCTGGGAAGTTAGGGATCTGCAGAACAGCAGAACGCCATGGACTGTGCTGGCAGGAGGCAGATGCTTCGAAAATAATAAATTAAACACAAACCTGCTGGGTCTGCCAATATCTGCCCACCACCCAGCTCTAGGGCATCCGAGCTCCAGGCTCCCCTAGCTTATGCCCTGCTTGGATGAAGGCCTTTCTACTGTCCAGTGGCCAGGGTTACTGGAAACTGGCATGTCCCACCAGTGTCTCTGCTCCTGGATGCACACTAAGGCTCACCTGGCTTCCACACCTGGGCATATGGAGGAGTGAAGGGCAGGTGTGCAGGGCAGTACCGTGCCCCTTCCGGGTAGCAGCGAGGCTTGTGATGTCAGACTATGTCCAGGTGCTTCTCAGGGAGGGTTGGTTTCCCCTTCTCTTCCCCAACCTCCTCTTGGGATTTGATGATTGGGCAGAATTCATGGCATCTCTGACCTTGCTTTATAAGCAAGAATGGTGACATATCAGTGTTAGCAGAGAACTGTCTTAGCATGTACAAGGGCTTCTGGGGACTTCTGGGAGGTTCTGCAAAATTCCGTGTGTTATGATGATAAACTGAGACTTAAGGGGAAAAAACCAAATTTCTCAAGGTCTTGTGGGTAACAAGCAGACAAAGCAGGCCTTCAAACTGAGGCTCATCCCGAGCTCTGGGTTCTGTTGTCCCAGGCACTAGCAGCTAAGGAAAACCTATAAAATGGATGTGTTGATCCACCTAGAGCAAATCCAGGACTCAGCTGAATTCAGCATCTGTCCTTGGACGTGAGGAGGCAGCATTGGGTTTCCTCTGTTGTATGCCCCCAGCGTTATCTATGGGGGCTTTCTTAGCCCAGGGTCACCTACTTAGCTTCCTGGTCTTGATCAGTCTTTCATCTACCATATGGGCATTCTGGCACGCCTCCATCCCGCCTCCCTGGAACCTCCATGGTCACCTCTGTAGTGTTTCCAGGGGAGTGTCCACACTCTCTCCCTCACCAAACCCCCAACCTTCATTAGCATTTCCATGCCAGCCTTGGTATCTCGCCCAGTCTTCATTTCAACTTGTCAAACTTGGATCAGAAGCTCTGCTTGAGGCCACATAAGAGTCAGCCACGAGCGGTCTCTTATCTCCCATCCAAGTTCTTTCTCCAGCCATGTTCCTGTTAGTGTCACGGTCCCCAACAGCTTGGCTACAAGGTCTGAAAGCAAGGTAGCAGTCTTGCCTCTCACACTCTGTGACCAGACAGGCAGCAGCTCTTCCTCCCCACAGCCACGTGACCGGAGGATCGAGGCTCAGAACAATGCGGAGGCAGTAGCTGACGGTGACCTTTAAAGAGACAGTCTTTATTGAGATGCGATTTCCATTGCTCGTATTTTTAATTACGTGTGTTTCTCCGTGTATATGCAAGCATGTATGCAGGTGTGCAGAGAGGCAAGAAGGGGGCCTCAGATCTCCTGGAGCTGGAATGATATAGGCAGGTCTGAGCCTCCCAGCGTGGTTGCTGGGAACTGAATTTGAGTCCTCATCAAGACCAGCGAACACTCTCAACTGAGCTATCACTATGGCTTCTAGCTGCGACTTTCCTGTTCCCTTTGCTCACATCCTGGCTGCCCCTCTTCTAGATTTCCATTCTGGACATTGCGCAGGGGTGACCTTATATAACCTGTGATCTTTGGTGACCGTCTTCTTTGACTGGCATAGTTTCCGGGACTCATCAGTGTTAAAACACATCACGTTTCATTCCTATTATTGAGTTGTAGTTGCTTATATGAGTATACCTAATTCAAAAAGCCCAGCGCCCAGCAGTAAGTAGCTGGTAGTGTCATGCCGAATTGCTCAGGGAACTACCAGATTCTTTCTGCGAGGGGCTGCGCCACTTCACACTCCCAGCTGGACCCTAAGAGGACTCTGATTTCTGCACACCCCTGTTGGCACCTGTAACGGTCTGACCTTGGTTTTAGCTGTTTTCCTGCAGCAGTGTTTCATTGTGGGTCTACATTCGGTTTCCTTGATGACGAAAGAGGAACATCTTTTTACTTTATTATTTTTTACTTTTAATTTCCTTGGGATAAGGTCTCACTATGGGGCACAAGACAGCCTTGAACTCACAATCCTCCTTTCTTAGCCTCTGAGGTGCTGGGGTTACAGGCATGTGCCACCGGGCCCAGCTAGGATATGTCCCTTTTTATGTGCTTACTGGCCATCGGTGTATCTTATCAGAGGCCTTTGATTATTAATGGGACTTATTGACCACGGAGATTCGTTTTATCTCCCCTCACACTAGAACACACTCACTGACAGGTCACGCAGTAAGGTGATGCTGAACCACAGGGAGACTGCAGACGTGCAACTGAACCACAAACAGCAGAAGACACTGCACCCTGGACAGCCGCTCACAGTGTGGGGCCCTAGCACTTCTGTCCCTTTGTCTTCTCTCTCTCTCCCTGTCCATTCCAGGGCTAGTTCTGCAACAGGTGACAAGTTCAGGGCTGTTATGGTGTCTGCGGATCACACTTAGTTACCAAGAACAGCTCTCTGTCCCCGGATGCAAAGTGAAGATCAACATTGCTGCTCTTTATGACTCAAGACACACGCAGAGCGACAGTGGCCTCCACGAGTGAGCAGACTAGCCCAAGTGCAGAACCGGCCACATGCGAGGTGGCCTTCAACTCCTGATCTTCCTTTCCCAGCCTCTCAAGTCGCCAGGGCTCCAGCCTTAGCAATCAGGAGGACTTTCTTGTCTGGGAGGACCTGAAATAGGCAAGTGTTGTGCATATCAGAAGCTCTTCAGCATCACCCCTGGGCTTGCTACTACTAATTCTCTTTTAATTCTGCCCTGGAAGAACCTACCCGGCACAGGGCCAGCTGCTGGACCCATGCAGGACACGTCAATCAACTGAATTAAGCCTTTCCGTTTCTGACAGTTACAGAGGCGACTAGGCCCAACAGCTCAGCTCTGTGCGGGAAGTCGGTGACGTTGATGATATTCATCCCGTGTGCCTGTCTGTACTTCCACTGAAACAGCCGGCAGCCCTGGGGAGCTGAAAAAGGGAATCTCTGAGACATAAAAGGGAGACCGAGGCAAAATGCAGGAGCTTTATTAAAATCAACATATTCTCAATGTCATTAAGATTATTAAATTTATTTAGGGAAACATGCCACATTCAGTGACCTAGAGCCCACAGAGGCACACCAGAGACAGAGTACACGGAACACGGGCAGCCCCTCAGGTTGCTGAACTGAAAGGGACTATGGACACTTCAGGAGTTAGGTACCAGAAGGCGAGCAGTCTGCACAGGGGACCTGGTGTTACCTGCTCTAAGGTCCTTTCCTGTATTTGGTCCCATATGACAGAGCAAGGCTGTGGGTTCCACGGCAGTGCTACACCCAAGCCTGGGTCTCCAGCATGAGCCTTGGTTCTTGGCACTGAAGAGGCCTTCAGTAATTAAGAATGAAGAGACTGACCAAACAGGTGTGTGTCCTGCTCCCTGTTAAGCCCACTCCTGGATACCAAATTGATTTTAAGATTCTAGGAGCCCGCCCCTCCTTCAGTGAAACGGCTCAGGCCTGGTGAAGAGTTCCAGAATGGCTGGTGGTGCAGATGCTGCAGGTCACAGAGCATCGGGACAGCCAGGAGTACTCTGTGAGCAGCACTCCAGAAGGTTCTATGTGTGGCTAAAGGAGCCTTTTAACTTTTCAGAAAAGCAGGAATTCTGCAGTCATGGACCGGGGCCAATATAGGGTATGCTAGGGCAGGAAGAAGTCACAATTTATAAAATCCATATCATAGTGTTTTGTTTTTCTAACGTTATCAAATCTCCCCAAGGTGGCTTCTTCCTCTTAGGACCAGGCGTAAGGACTTTAAGTCATTGCCAGTATGAAGGACTTCCTCGGGACTCGCCATGTTCTGCCAATGGCAGTTCAGTGTCACACAACTCGGACTCAAGGAAAACTTCTGCAGTTGCAGCCTCTCTAGTTTTAAATGTGGGGACCTGAGACAGTGGGGGGGGGGTCACTTTGCTTTGCCTTAGGCTTTTCTAGGAAAGCGCAAGTTCCTTTGGTCAGGGGAGCATCGTAGGGGGCGGGCCTGGGTGCTGCGGCTGCAGAGGGTGCCAGGGCCTGGGCGCAGATCATTTGCGAGGTTGTTGGATATGCTGTGTTCTTGGAGAAACATGTTTGTCTATGGAGGCATGCGGCTTCTGGTGGGCCACTTGTGCAGCCGCAGGGGGAAAGTCTTTGTCACCCTGTGAGGAGACAATACACAAGCTGGTTAACAGGAAGTGAAAGAGGTGGAGAGACAGTTCTCCGAACCCAGCCCCACCCTTTGCTGCAGGGCTGGGGATAAGTGGGTATCAGGCTACCTCTGCAGCTAAGCAGGCCCTGCAGGCCAACAGAACCACGGGGCAGAGGCTCGAGCCCCCGACTGAACAGTGATGGTGCCTGCACATTTGCCTGGAGAAGACCCAGCTGGTGTCCTTTTTAGGTCTGATTCTGTCATCTGAACCGGGCGCAAGACAGGCCAAATGCAGAGTCTCAAACTAGGATCTGGGCAGGCCTGAGGAAGAATGGGTGGAGAAGAAGCCTGCGGGGGCCTGGAGAATAGGGCGGGCTAAGCTTGGCTTCTTATGCCAACAGTGGGTTTGATCTGGGCAAGGGCAGACAGAACCGTGTAATCAAGGACTGAATCTGGCCCCATGCAGACAGTTAGTGACCTGCCATGGGCTGGCTGGCCCTAGGGCGTAGATGGCTGTGACAGCTCTGTTGGCAAAGCTGTCCCCAGCAATGGTGGCTTCCTCCTCAAAGGTGCATGGTGTGGCAGAAAACATGAGCGTAGCCCGAGGGCCAGCAAACAAAAGCAGTCAAGCAGGACACACATGGGCATGCTGAACTGGTATTTCATGTAAGCCTCCTTTGTCATACGCTGTACTGACGCTGGGAAAATGTGTGCAGACCAGGCTACTTGAGGCCCAGAGCCATAGCCTGCGGTGTCAGGTGAATCCGCAGCAAGCAGGCAGGTGCTCAGTTGTGGGCACCACTGAAGCACTGGTGCTTATTAAAGGCACAGGCAAGAAGAGACTGCATGGGAGTCCACACGCCCACACTCTTCCAGGAGCGGATCAGGTGCAGGACCGCGCCGCTCCGCTGTCTGTGTGCAGAGGTCACACTTACCCGGGCAATAACACCGGAGATGTACACTGTTGGTTTAGGCGGGCTGGAAGACAGATGGGGAAAAGAGGATTTAATGAGTGATTCACACAAGGAAAAAAAGAGCAAAGCAGCTGTGGAGAGTCCAGCATGGGCAGTGGTGGCTTCTGCCACCGAGGAGGGAAAAAAAAACGGGGAAGCTGACCTCTTTCCTCTGTTGCTTTGTCAACAACCAGGCTGGGGAGGGAGTTGGGGGCTCAGGGGCTGTGAGTCTCGGGAGCTGTGGGGCTCAGGGTGCTGCGGGGCTTTGGAACTGTGGGACTCGGGGGCTGTGAGTTTCAGGGGGCCGTGGGACTCGGGGAGCTGCAGGGCTTTGGAACTGTGGGACTCAGGAGGCTGTGGGACTCGGGGGCTATGGGGCCGCTTCTGAGGTTAGTCCAGGAAGAGCGTGGAAATGGGCTGCAGCAAGTAACAGCTGAATTACATAAGATTCTTTTATTGCTGGAATGAGTGAGACCGTCAGTCTATGAGACTGGAAACAGGCTTCCCTGAAGTGGGGCAGAAACAGCTAAACATGGGGTATTATAGGGTCCCCAGAGTCCATGGCTTCTGGAAGTTTCTAACTGGGGAGACTCGGAGTCAAAGCAAACTCCTGGCCCTGGTGCCCTCCCCTCAAGAATTAAAAAGGCAAAAAAAAAAAGTCACTGAAAACTACAAAACAAAGCCAAAATTATGATTATGGGTATTTTCCTGCATGCGTCTATGTAGCGCTTGTATGCTTGGTGCCCAGAGAGGCCAGAAGAGGGCGTCAGATCCCTCAGAGCTAGAGGTGCCTTGTGAAATGCCCTATGGGTGGTGGGAATGGAACCCAGGTCCTCTGGAAGAGCAGCCAGTGTTCGTAACTCTTGAACAATATCTCCTGCCTCACAACTTGAAAAATAAGTGTGTGTGTGTGTGTGTGTGTGTGAGAGAGAGAGAGAGAGAGAGAGAGAGAGAGAGAGAGAGAGAGACAGACAGTCAGAGGTCAACCTCAGGCGCAGAACACAGTTTTCCAGACAAGGCCCCTCTCTAGCCTGAACTTGGCGAGTGCAGGCTGGACAGCCAGGGAGCCCCAGGATCCACCTCTTTGTAGTACCTGCCCCAGCATTTTGTGTTTTTAAAACTTTATTAGTACATATTAATTGTATACGTTTTCTTTGTGTTAGTGTCAATTCTTAACACTTTAATTCATATGAAGCTCCCCGAAACCGTCTACAGTACTGAGGGGCAGAATATGGTATAGCATCGAAGTAATACGTGTTCCCTGAGGGAAGAGAGATGGGCCCAAACACGTTCAATTGCTGCAGTCTCACGCAGCAACTGTGGTGGCTCTCCTTCCCAATTCCTGTGGATCTGGTCGTATTCTTTTCTTCTTCATTTTTTTTTTCTTACAAAAGTAATCACACTGTGTCAGAAACTGCTTTCTGATCTGAGATATGGCAGGTGTATGTCACATATAAAATCTGGTTATGGGCACTGATTTCTTGGGGAGATGCATGGTGCCCAGTTCATAAACGCCACGATGAGTCGGAAGCAGGGAGCGGGGTGCCATGAACTAACGTCCCCAGCAGAGCCACACCTGGGTTTGAGATGCTGATCTAAATGAGTTTGGGCTCTAAAAGTCCCTCTTTGCCTACCTCTGCACCTGCTCTTTTGACTACAACACAAACACTTCGGAAGGTGTTAGCTAAGCATGACTAGGCCACTAGCTGCCACCAACCCCGACCCCAAGGGTGTCATCAGACAGTCTGAAACCTACAGTGCAAACGCCGTTTTGCGACAACCACTTCCCTACCCGATGAACCTGGTAGGCGCAATGATGTCTCTCTGTGTACCTGTGTGTACAGAGGCCAGAGGCCAGCCCTGGGTTATTCCTCGAGCACCGTCCACCCTATTTATTATGTGTGTTTGACATAGGTCCCCTCGCTGGCTTAGCGTGTGTAGAGCAGGTCTGGCCGGCTGGTCAGTGAGTCCAGGGATCTGCCTGTACCCATGTCCCCAGCACAGGATCACAGTGCACTCTCCCACACCTTACTTCTGAGCTGGGTTCTGGGACTCAGGCCATCACGCTTGTACAGCAAGGGCTTCACCATCTGATCTCTCTCCCACTCAAATGCACTGATTTAGAACTTTCTTTGGTTCATGCAGCTGCTTCCGTGGCTGAACAATTCATTGGAGGAGATCCGAACTCGCGTTCCTGGACCATATTAACTTCTAGGGAATCCATATTCACGATCTTGGAATAAACTTTCTCTTACTCCGCTTGAAGCAGGAGCTGTGTTTTGTTCTGACGGTATGTGGGAGGCATTCAGAGGCAGACTGTGGACAAAGTCACAGCCCAGAAAGACTGGGGCAGAACACGGGACCGAAGGGAGGTCCTTGGGACGCTGTTGTGCTCAATGCCAGGCCTGCTAGGCAATGGTTGAAGTATCGCGTGAGCTTCTAGCCCACCTCCCATAGCTCTGCATCTGGGTTATGCTGCAGGGCTCCTTTGAAGGAAGCCACAGCTAGGTTGTGTGTGTGTGTGTGTGTGTAGGCAAAGGTCGTATTATTTAGAAAGTGCGCGAATGCTTACATCCTAGCGACTATAGCAAAACCACTTGAAATTCCTCAAGTAGTTTCTGTTGCTCCAGGAGAAGCTTCACCTCACAGCTCAGAAACAGCCCGGTGTCTTTCAGTTTCACTGACTGATTGTGGTGGGGCTAACTGGGTCAGAGCTTTCTCTACCACATGCCAATTTAACTGCAGAGAGGAGTCAGTTTGCTAATTCCAAACCTCCTCATGTAGTGAAGGGGCTGTGGCTGTGTAGTCTCAGAACATGCTGGCTACTTCAGGCAGGGACCACCTTGGGAGGTGCAGCTACAAAGGCACCAGGCCCATCTGTCTGACGTGCAGCCAGCTCTGAGGAGTCTTTGGGGAGGGCTGCTGTCCTGGCACCATGGTGAGGAAATAATAAGAGGCTGGAAAGAATGGGTCTAACCTTCTTGCACACCGAGGGACTTACCATCCTAGCCCCAAGATTCACTGTGCTAAAATGGCTTGGAACCCTGAATTACTATGTCATAGCTGCTGTCCAAGTTGTCTGGAAACCAAGTTACCAGGGACCTCCCATCAGCACCTGCTCCCAGGCATCATACTGCAAGGTTGCCTTGGGTACTATCCCTCTACCTGCCTCCTCTGTCTCTACTCTAGCCAAGGCCTGTGGGTATTTGCTGAGTCAAGCTTGACAGGTGGGCGGGGCTTTGCACTGAGTGACAGGAGGTGTGAGAATCAGGATAGGAGGAAACAGATGTGGCTCCAGGGCAGGTTGGAGACCAGCCTTTTCCCAGGCCCTACTTAGCACCCTACCACTCCCTGAGTCTCCCCATCATAACCTTAAATGACTGCAAGGGCTTGAGAGCTGGAAGGAGACCGCAGGGGTAAAAATGACCTCTCCCATCCCATCCATCACAAGGAGGCTTGGGGGGGGGGGGGAGCGGGGAGAGACGGTCATAAACTGAGGACCCACGGGGAGCTCAAGAACAACACTTGAAGACCCGGTAGCTCAAAGGAAAGTTCATGATGGAGGAGCTCTGTGGTACGGAGCTGGACTCGAGCGCTCCAGGGTTGCGTGCGCTGCGCCCCTGCGTGCCCGAGGCCGTGCGCTGCGCCCCTGCGTGCCCGAGGGTCTAAAGCCACAAGCACCTACTTTGCAGGCTCCATTTCTCTGATGGAAATCTTTCTGGCCAGTGCTGTTTGGAAGACTCACCATTGTTTTCTCTCAAGAAACGGCAGCCACCCCTACCCTCCCTTGGCCTCAAGCCTCTCCAGTCTTTAAAATCACCTAGTAAGATTTCCAGGAACTAGGCAGAAGGCAGTGGCGCACGCCTGTAATCCCAGCATTTGGGAGGCAGAGACAGGCGGATCTTAGAATTCGAGGCCGGACTGGCCTACAAAGTGAGTTCCAGGACAACCGCATGTTACACAGAGAAACCCTGTCTCAAAAAACCAAACCGAGGACTCCGTGTTGAGAGGAGGAAGGACAAACTGAAAGAGAGGCTCAGCTGCTGGGTGGCTCTCGTGGAATGCATACTTCTTGACTACCGTTTGCATGGACGCAGAGTTATGACACCTTGGGAGCAAACCCTGGGAGTTTATTTCAGCTTTATTTGGAATCTGTGGCCTGGTGTGTCCCCAGAGTTCCCACCTGGGGTGTTTCCCAAAGCATCTCCTAACAAACAGGCGGAAGAGTCCTTTCTTGCCACTCTCTGTCCTTTTAATACCTTTCTGGCCTGGTCTTCTACTACTTGGGGTTATTAATTTCACGGACACCTGAATACTCATTAGTATGGCTGGTGCGTGGAGGCTCCTGTCTCACCCCACTGCACCCAGGCAGGGTTTGTAATGTCATTCTTCAAGTGTGCCGGCTGAGGCTGCTTCCCGCCTGCTCTGCATGTCTCCACCAGGTGGCGCCATTGGTCCTTTCAGAGCATCAGGAAGCCCAGCGTTTTCTAAGGGAATCACTGTCAGGTGGGTCTCGGTGGAGGTGGAACTCAACCTGAGCACTCCCAGTGGGATTAACCCAAGATAGAAGGACCCAAGCCCTCTGCCTTTGGCACACGCAATTGGCCATGTTTTTCAAGAGGGCTAGCAGATGTTCATGGTCGGTCTGGTCTTAGAGCTGCCTGGCAACGAGGAGAAATTTCCTCACTGGAGTGGGGCCTAAGTGCCTACTCCTTCCTGCAGATATCCTAAGTCCAGGGCATTCTCCCAAGTGTCTAGAGGTGGCCGGGGCCAGGGCCCCATGTGATGCAGCAGCTCCTGCTTGGGGCTCTAACACACTTCTCTTTAAGGCTTGGCTGACTGGATCTTGAAGGCTGAACCTTCCACATAAGATAAGCTAAACTCCGAGGGCCGAGTGAGGGTTAGCTTGGCTTCTACTTAACGCCTCACTGTGCACTCACTCAGGACACAATGTGAGAACTGCCAGGTGATTCAGGAGGGCCTGCGACCTTCGCCTTTATCACTAGAGTTCCCGAAAGCTGTTCT